GGGAGAGGAGGGAGGGGCCAGAGGGGGACCCCGCTGGAGGGGTGAGTACCCCCCGTTCTGCAGACGCAGGACGAAAACGAAACTCGAGTATAAACGCTGCCTCCTCTCGCCCCAGGATTTATTCGCCACCCAAACTTGAATGCAATGCGCAGTTGTTTAAAAATTTTAAAGAAACGAAATCCATTGGCCCAATGACTGTAACTGATCTTTTTCACTGCAAGGGGAAAGTCGCTAATGTTCAAGGGCGAATTTCGCTGGGACGTCCCAGCTGGCTCCGGGATCGGAATTTAAACATTCCGAGAGAACCGGAGAAGGGGATCCCTTCCATCTGATTCCGAATCCGATTCTGCAGTAATTAATGCCCATCAGTGCAGTGCCCGGGGCCTGGGCCCGGGAGTGGACGCTACCCCCCGTCTACAGAACGACCGCACACACCGCCTTCCTGCTCCTTCTCGGGTTTATTTGGGCTTTGGCATTTCTCTAGACCCAGGTGGACCTAAAATAAAATTAAGAACTGGAACAAAAATAGGCGTCCTCCAAGTGAAACGTCCTCTCTTGCCTCAGAGGAGGTAGAGCCAAGGGGATGCTCCTACCAAATGTGAGGACAAAACCTGGGGGGCTTTTCAGGACTTTGCACTAAGAAGTGACGCCTGGAGCAGCAGCGTACCTGATATTGGGGGGCGGGGGGACAGGAAGGGGGACACCTGTGCCACGCAAGAACGGGACACCTGCACAGCAGGACGTGGAAGGTTAGGGTCCCAGGCACACACCCCAGAGGGAGGCTGTGGCACCCCCTTCGGGGCGTTCCAGACCCCAGGGCGGTGACGAGGGGCCTTCGCCATGCTGGGCCTTCCGGACTCGGGTTTGACTCAAAGACCCCGCCTGGAGTGCAGCCTGAACAAGTTGTCTCATTCACGCCGGCAACTTTACCCGTAGGCAGGTTTGGAACCCCGGCAGGGCAGGAACGGGCCAATCCCCCACCCCAGGGCCTGGCTGTCCTTCCTTCCCGCAGCAGAGCTGTGGCGAGGCAACCCGAAGGGACAGAGATTCCTCCCAGCCCGGGGGCAGAGGCAAAAGGGAGCCGATGGGCCCTGAGGGTCTGCGCGCCTCCGTTCTGGGAGCCCCAGGGGCCTAGATGTTTCCGAACCGCTTAGCAAGGGCCGTTCATTCCCAAGGCAGCTCCCCGGACACCGGCGCGCTGCCCCCTCTCCCAGGGACACGGGTTCAAGCTAGAGCGCGACTTCCGCGCCCTGGATGGAAGGCGGGTGGAAGAAGTCCTCAATCTTCCCAGCCAGGGAGACCCGGCCCAAACACGCACACCCTCGGCTTCGGGGCCGGAGCCCCGGCACGCGCGCGCCCCCGTCGGCGTGCCGGAAGCCTCAGCTCTTCCTCGAGCTCCACTTTCCCTCTCTCTGCGGAAAGCAGGGAGGGGATGGCTCCTGCACCCGGGACAGACCTCCCTCCAAAGCTCAGGCCCCTCGCCGCATGAAGACCGGAATCTGGAGGCCGCGCCCTGGGACGGCCACCGCTCGGGAAAGGGTGCCCCCTCAGGACCCTCCGAGGCTTCGCAGCCGCCTAACTGTAAACAGAACGAGAGGATCCCGGGGACAAGCTTCACTGCACGCCACGCAAAATCCGGGATAGGGGGTGGAGGGTGGCGCGCGGCTCCCCTCTGTCGCCCCCTAGGGAGCCTACGCTCACACACACTGGAAGCCTGGACCCGAGCCCCCATCCCGCTCCGGTGGCCCAAGAAACCGGAGTCTGGAGGCGAGGAGGCGTCTGGGTAGAGGCGCAGACGGAGACCGCCGCCTCCAACTTCCCACCCCCGCAAACCAAGGAAGGCGCCCGGGCAGGTCGAGCTGGAACGGGGTTGGCCTGCGACTTCTTTTCCCGCCCCAGGGAGGGGGCGCGAAAGCGGCAGGTGGAGGCCCCCGAGCGCCCTAAGGGAACGCCGCGCAGCGCGCAAGGTGTCTGTCCCGCCCCTTGGAACCGCATGAGCGCCGGCAGAGACCGCGGTGAAGTGGCCAGCCGGGTTAAGCAGAGCCGAAAAGCCGGGGCCTGCAGCAATCGAGGGGGGGTGCCCCTCTATCCCACAGTCTCCCATCGCGGCATCGTCACCCCGAGGGCCAGACACTTGGCACCGAAGAGTACTGCGACTGTCTAAGCCCGCTAAGGCGCACGCCCTGGGGCGCCACTGCATCGTTTCACAGCCACTCCAAAATTACAGCAATAGTATAAAAATAGCAGATCGTTTTGATGGTGCGCAGAGCGACAGCCGCGCACACACGGATGCTTCTTGGCTTGCTTAACCCAGGGTCCAACCCGACTCCATTTACGGCTCCTTCTAAGCGCGCGGCTCCAGGCCCGGGGCTTGAAGGGAGGGGCTTCGCGGCCTGTAGCTTTTCCTCGCAAAACCTGCTTTTTACATATGGACAGAGAGCCGCGGAGCTGAGGGAGCCTGGAGGACCCAGGCTCGGGGCGGGGCGGGGCGGGGAGGGCCCGGGTCCGTGTCTGTCCCGGGTCGAGTCCGCGCGCTCATTCGAAGGGCGCCCGCCAAGCGCAGAGGTCGTGGGTACAGTCTCTAACTCGACCACCGCAGCCCCATTTCTCAGCAGCGTCGGGGATTTTTGGCCGTCCAACTACCTCAAAGCCACAAACATGCCTGCTATTCGAGGCGACCTCCCTAGCTGCTCTTGGAGACCTGTTAGAGACAAGCTCGGCTCTCGCCTCCCCTGCCCCGGGGGGACCCCCGCCCTCCGGAGGCCACGCTTGGCCGCAGAATGCCTGTCACTTCTCCACTGTGTTCCAGGGCCCATTCGCCGCAGCCTAAGCGCTCGGAGCGCAGGCGGGAGGACTCAGGCTCCAGCCCGGTGTCCCCGGAGGCCTTCTCCGCTCGGCGTCCAGGAACACCACACCCCTGCAGGCCAACCGAGCCCGGCGGCCTTAACGCGTTTCTCTGGTCGCCTCCAGGCGACGAGGAGGCCCACTGTGGCCAGGCGCCCGGCGACGCGGACTCGGCTGCCGGCGCCAGAAGTGGCAGCGCCCGGGAGCCACCCCGCAGCCCCAGCGGCGCCCTCCCCACCCCGCGGGCATCCTCCCGCACGCCTCTCCTCCCTGCCGGCCTGCCCTCCGCCCGACACCTCCTTTCTCACCCTCAGGAGCTGGAAATTCATGTCGCCAGCTCTTCAGCCTCTGCGAGTTGAGCTTAGCAATAGGAGCCGGGCTGCAAGCGCTCCCCAAGGGCCGAGTCGCGTGCCGCAAAGTGCTCTGAGGTTTATTTAATTAACGGAAGGGGGAAGTAGGGAGGGGGCTTTCGATTCACAGCCAAAACCGGCTATCGCGATTGGAAGACACACCTGAAAAGGTCGTCGTTACTCCTCCCCTGCCCTCCTCCCCTTGGAAACTGTAAACTCGCCAATTGAAAAGGGTCTTCCTTGGGGTTTTGAGCGATCTTTGCGCGTCTGTGACAGGCAGACCGAGGGACGGCTG